AAGAACTGCATTTATCATCTAAATGAAGCAGGGATTTTTCAATAATTTCAAGACCAGAAAAGCCAAAGGAGATGACAATTGCAGAGATATATCATTTCATCAGAAAAGCTTTGAGCCATACCCAGTTGATTTATTTGACATGTTTTCCTTATCTAGAGTTTAGATTTCTACTGCTGAAGGAGTTCTCAACTTGGAAATCTTTTGGTGGGACCAATTTTCCAAAAATTTCATGAAACATAATTGGGTAAATCTCCATAAGAATTAGACCTATTCAAATAACAGACATGCAGGCTGTGGTTTCCACCCTACAGGCTGTGGTTTCCACCCTACAGGGATTTGAAAAAAGCAAGTTTAGATGGTCCTTAGCAGGAACAACATCAGTTAATCTTCTATACAAAGCTGGACCTGATTATTTGAAGTGGTAAGTGCACCAACATAGGTGAATGGTCTAAGCTAATAGGTTTAAGTGTTGATGATGTGCATTTAATTTCTTAATTCCACACCCCCATATATTGTGTAATTTCTTTTGTCATTTGTCAAACAGGTCACTCCTTTTCTTTTGGGTAGGGGAACTCTTCAACTCACTCCCTCAGAGAAAAATAAGACGCCACAATGAAGAAATCAATAGCAGATATGCTTGAAAATAAAAGAGATGTTTACCCACCTCTAGCAGTTCCCTGGTTCAAAGCATTTCCGAGAGAGAGAATTGTTTGCATAATCCTTTTCAATTTTGATGAACCTTTAATCTGATTACAACATCAAAGAGAAGATGATATTCAAGGACAGCATCAAGAAACCTCTTGTCTCATCTAAAAGTGGTAAAGCATTAAAGTTGGAAAGAAAAAACAAAAGAAATGTGCCTGATCAGCTGCCGAATTCACAATATTCAGACTCTTCCTTAGCTCAGAAACCTGAAATTGAAAGAAAACAAATATGCTGTCAGCAAGCGAAACATTCCCAGTGCAGCAAAGAGGCAGCAGCACCAGGCCAAGTGGAATCTATTAGAATAGAAAATATTGCAGCTCAATCAGTAAAAGAATAGAGCCAGGAGGTTGGCATCTGCCATCTTCTCACCTGAGATTCAAACTGAATCTTAAACGAAAAAACTCGCAGCTTGGACTCTGTTCGTGGTACTTGCATCAACTCTAACATAAACTGCAACAACAAAGAGATCTTACAATTAGATGTTACTATATAAATGGTCCAATCAATTCCATACAGGATAAAGTGGGATAGTAAGCAAAATTAAAGAAAAAAAGGTTATTTCACAATGAACAAACCTGTTCACATCGACCCAACTTCTCCTTCTCTCCTTTATAACCCTGAAGCAGAAATGCAACTAAAACAAGGTTATTCACTGTGTTCCTATGTACATTTAATTATTAGTTTTCCTTAACTCTTTTCAATCAGATCTTTCACCTTGAGAGTTTCCATCTCCTCCTTAGTTGGGCAAAACTTAATCAGATTCTCCACCTGATCCACATCTAGTGCAGAATCTTCCAGTGCAAGCACCGAGTTCTGTTGAAATTATTAAAAAGTGGTAGCCAACAATTAGAAGCATAATCCAACTTTTAACAGAAAATAATCCACACAATTGACGTTATATTCATGGACCTTGGGCCTACCACAACCCCAAAAGCTAGCTCATGAGGTAAGGATTGTCCAAAACCATATAAGGAGAACAATTACCCATCCACCACCAATATATAATTAATCCAAAGATGTGTTTGGGTGTAGGGGTGTGTGTGTACATCATTCTTGGAAATAATCACATTTCAATGTAACTCGACTATATGCAGGATTATGGTCCACGGACCATCACAGAGAGATGACAGGAAGAGATGGAGAAGGTTAAAAATGAGAACATTTAGCATGCAAAAAGTGCACAACCAGGACTAAAGTTTGTGATTACAAGATTCAACACGTACAAACACCTTGTCTCGGGATAGGTGACACTTGAATGGCTTTGTTTTCTTTAAATATCAGATTATACTTAAATCAGCAGGGATATGTACATTGGTTATACAATAAAGTAGAGTCTTACGATATTAAAAGACGTAAGTTTTTTACCAATACAATTAAGCAGACAGAGTCCAAATCAATAGTAAGTTCCCATTTAAGCATGGATATTGTTACTACAGATGTTTATTTGAAAACTGAACATCTCGCAAAGAATCTCTAACAAGGTCTACAATGTGATTGTTATTCATATTTCTGAGAGGAAGTTAAGTACAAAATTGAGAAAACAGAAGGGAGTGAAAATTATATAGATAAGCAGTCTAAGAACAATGGCACACAGTTTACAATAATTGCTTATCAAGAACACAAAAATCAGTCAAACACTGGAAGCTATAAAATATGGGACACATAACATGCTTTAACTATTAGAACTTGAAATGTCAAATGAATCATTGTGATAACAGCACCACCCTACTGCAGGCATACAGAAGTGGATAAATGATTACCCAAGATATATGACACAGATGAATACAAACAATTGGTACAAACAGCTGTATGTCAGATATATATATTCTAGAATAACCATATTATCCAAAAAGAAAGCCAATTGTATATGTATACAGCTTACCAGCATTTCATGCAGTGGTATTTTCACCTTAGAAAGCATGATTTCACAATTATAAGCTCGTCTATGATCAACCTGCCAAAATAGAGTTCAGGTAAATGCTCTCTTAGAACATGGAAGAGCTGAAATAGTGCCACACTTCCATCTTTTCTCCGCAGCTATATGCGAGGAGAGAACAGGCAGTGGCTTCCACAGAGCTATATGAGTATCAGGTGGAAATGGATTCTATCAGATGTTACTCATGAATAGGTTTTCACTGAATCCGTGACAAAGAAGCTTAGATAATCTGTGGAAACAAACTTGGGAAGCAGAATTAAAAGATTTTGTTTGTCCAATTACCATGGTATTATATAACTGTAAAAGATCCCAATCTACAGGCCTAAGAGACATAATTTATTAATTAGATTTTTTAAGATACAGAACAATGTAAATATTTGTTAGAATAAAAGCAATAATTTTTTATGACGTGATGTCTGGCCAACTTGCGCACCTCGACTATTCCACCGGATACTGCTACCTCCCACCAGCACAACACAGATACCAGGTGATGTTTTCTACCAAAGCTTTGACATATTGGAAGAAATCACCTAGTGTGAACTAGAACCTGAGACCTCATGGTTCTCCCCCAACTTCATTGACCACTAGGTCACACTCTTGGGTGCAGCAATAGCTTGCAATAGCTGATATTTATTTATTTTTGATAAGGTAAAGCAATAGCTTATATTTTACTGACCCTCAATTAAACAAAAAGGCAGACTAGTGCACAAAACATCCAATCCTGCGTTCACGCAAAGTCGGGGAAAGGGCCGACCTCAATCATGAGTATAATAAATCTGTTGACCCTAGATTCAAACAATGTGAATAAAGATTAAAATCCAATTACACGGCTGCCTCAGTACAGTGCACTGACCTATGCAGTTCCTTTTTTCCAACAACTTTCTGTTAAAGAAAAGGACCAACTGCCATAAGGTTTGGCATCCTCAATAGTGAAACTATTGGTCCTAGTGTCTTTAATTTTATGTTATTCAGTAATTAAGGGACGGTTCTGAATGAATAACACCATGCACATTTGACAGCTTTCAGATTTGACATTCTAGACAATCCAACCATGGTCCATTCTGGAATTAATATTTATATGTAAATTTATGTATGATTTTTAAGTAATCAGTGCGACCTCCTATCTAAACATGCTATATATCAAGTGATATTACATTAAAAAGAAAAATAAAGATCACTGAGAGCAATAATGCCTACAAAATGTCAGCACTGTGCTTCTCTGTTTACACACTAAGGTTTTTAGGAATTAAGTACCAAATTTCAGCCAAAGAATTTCACTCCAGAAACCCTTCTGAAAACAAAGTTTCTTAAGCTGAAAACTAGGTGATCCAAAAAGGAACCACGTGAAAACACAGAATCGTGTCAAGAAAGAGAGATTGGGGAACAAGCTGCATTAAAGGAAGTAAGGAAGTACAAGACCATGACAGAAAGTGTACGTTAGAATTAGACTGTTCATAATATTTAAGATTCTGAGATTTATGTCAAACCATGGAACACCTGCACCAGGAACTTTGCAAATGACTGTATAAAGATAAAATGATCTAGGGAAATTTTTTATGAAAATCCACAAGGAACCTCAGATGTCATATAGTCATAAGCAATTACCAGTTGCACTTTCTCCGGCTTCTGCCCCATTGAGGTCCCCGAATTCCTTTTCCCTCCTGAACTGCCTTGTCCTGAAGTTGGAACTGCAGCTGAAAAGAGGGATTCAAGCTCTGATATATCAATCTCTGGTGCCCTATCAAATAGAAATTGGAGGACATCAGAAGTTATATCTGGAAAGAATTTTAAGAAAATTAACTAATGACTACTTTCACACTCATAGTTAGCACCTACTTGGGAGCATCACTGCATTTTTGAGCCTCGGCCCACAAGCTTCCTGAGACTGCTCTAGATATTTTTAACCAATGCAAAGGCTTCAGTTTCTTTGATGACTGACTTCTTGAATTCATGGTACGAGGCAATGGTCCTCGTCCCTTTAAGCCAGGTGGAGGAGCAGAAGGTGGGGGTGGAGATGGAGAAGTAGGGAGATTACTACCTTTAGATGCTGACTGTATCATACTAGCACCTGCTTTTAGATCAGGATTAAGAGAAGGGACTGGAGGAGGGGGAGCAGAAGGGACACTTTGTCGAGAACCCAACGCAGGAGGAGGAGGAGGTGGTGGCATTGCAGATACATTCGCAGGCTTAGAAGCTTGAGCAGCAGGCAAAGGAGGGGGTGGAGGTGGAGAGGGTCCACCATTGAACGAGGAGTTCTCCTTCATAGATTGCACAGGAGGAGGTGGAGGCAGGGGTGGTGGCACCCTGGTTGGGGGAACAACTTTTTCCTTCAAAGGTGGAGTAGGTGGAGGTGGAGGTGGAGGTGGAGGCGGTTCACAAATAGAGGCAGAATTTGTGTTCAATATTTGGGTTGTAGTTAACTGGCATGGAGGTGGAGGAGGAGGTGGTGGTAGTGGCGGTGACTTATCTCTAAAAGCTGAACTTCCCTTCAAAGTTGGGACTGGTTCAAGTGGTTCACTAGTACAGACAGAATTCTTGCTCAATACTGGGGGTGTAAATAATGGGCATGAGTCTCGAGGGGTGGAGGCGGAGGTGGTGGAGGTGATGGCACCCCTCTGAAAACTGAATGTTCCTTCAAAGGTGGAGTGGGAGGAACAGGTGGCTGAGGTGATCCACCAATGGAAGCAACATTCTCGTTCAATAGAGGGATTGGACGTTGTGACGGTGGCAGTGGCGGCGGCGGTGGCGGTGGCGGTGGTGAAAAATTACTACTCTGGACGAACTGTTGTTCTAAAGGTTTGATAAAGGGAATGGCAGCTGATGGAGAAGAGGAATTAGGAGGAGCTAGGGATGGAGGACAACTTTTAGAAGGATGAAGAGGTCGAGTAGGTTCCTTTTCAGCAGCTTCATCACCTGGCTGCTGCGCTGTCCGAGGAGGTGAAGTAGACTCCCCTTCATAAGCTGGCTGCTGCACTGTCAGAGGAAGCAGAGGTGCATCAGATTGGGACATAGTAGGTCTATCATCCTTCAAGGAAACAATTGGAGAACATTGTGTTCTGGGTGGAGTAGCCTGAGATGCAGAAGGTACAGTTCCAGTGACTAGTTTATCCTTCACGGGAGGAGTCTCTGGTGATGGTGCCAAGGGGGAAGGAGACAGAGACAACCCAGTAAGATGAGGAGGTGAAGCAGGTTCTCCTTTATGATCTGGCTTCTGTGCTGCTAGAGGAAGCAGATATGTATCAGGTTGAGACGAAGTAGGTTTTTCATCCTTCAAGGATACAATTGGAGGACCTTGGGTTCTGGGTGGAGCAGCCGGAGATGCATAAGGTACAGTTCCAGTGACTAATTTATCCTTCATGGGAGGAGTGAGCGGCGCTGGTGTCACTGGAGTAGGAGATAGAACTAGTCCAATACCAATACCCTGATCCTTCCCAGGTATGGATGAGGATGAAGGTGAAGTTGGAATGCTGGTCTTGAAGGGTGGAGTCCTGGTCTCAGGTAGGGAAGGAAGGTCATTCAGCTTATCACATTCTTGTACATGAGGATCCAACTTCTTTATAAGTGGAGGATGTTCCGACGTTGGAAAAACGTACAGGGACTGTTGTGATGGCACAGAAGACACACTAGGTTCTGTACTAAGGTCAGCAGGAGAAGGTTTTGAAAGAGGAATTGACGGCTGCAGTTTTGACACCTTCATCTCACTTTTGGTCCCAATAAATTGAGGTTCAACTTTCTGTTGGTCACTTTGTTGTACTTTGGAGGATGATTTTATGGATGACATAGATTGCTGCTCCAATGTAAATGGTGACGAGCCCTTTGCATCATTGTCCACTGGTGCAGGTCCCTTCCTCTCTCCAGGAGTCTCCAAATTTGCTTGATCGAGGAGCATGCTAGTGTCTGTAGACAGGGGAGGAACGGATTCCAAATTTTCCTGAATTAAACCTGACGTGGTTATTTGTTGGAGCACATTACAAGCAGCACCAGCCTTTGGACTTATCCAATCCACAGAGCTAAAGATTTCCTGAACTTTGGCAAATGCCTCCACTGGTAGGCCATCCTTCTCCTCAAAACAGGACAAATCTACAGGAAGAACAGAAGCAGCAGTGTCCATCTCTGAGAAAAGAACCTTCATCCAGAGCATAACTTTCATAAATTACAATATGCTTCTAGCTGGAGAGTATCAACAACAACAAAAAAAAAAACATACCTCTGCTCTGAAATCTTTTGGAAATTGATCTTTAGCATCCCATAAAGTGTCAAGTTCATCACGATTTAGAATCAAAATGTTTGACCTAATAAAAGCTGTGTTAAACATAGTCCTAAACATCATCTGTTCCCGCTCCAAATCATCGTGCAAGCAAATACATTCCAACACAACATCGCCTTGAATATGGCAATTGATATCAATCTTAACCAATTCACATTCGGCCTGAAATGATATTATAAGGAATGTTGAATCAATACTAGTCAGTTGGGTCCTAAGAGGGCATGCATAACAAGAATGGGAAAGAGGGGCGAGGGAGAAAGACCAAGATATAACAGGTACATGCATTTCAAGCATGTGAAATTAACAACCTAACTCAACTGAACTCCACTTGAGAAAAATCATAAGAATAATGGCATTAGAACAAAATGTCATAAGGTTCAAGTAGAACAACTTGTTAAATAGTCCAATTCACTCTAAATCAAACATCTCAATCCCAACGGAAGACCACCGCTTGACAAATTAACAAGGTCATAGAGCAGAGGAAAAACCGTAAAATTGCTTCTTTGGGAAGATGAAAGAATCGAGAGAACTGTAGAAAATTAAATATTAGGTAGTTGATCCACTCTAAGTCAAACATATTGATCTCATTGAAATACAATAAGTTGTACTATCATAGATAAAGTTCCCCATATGTTCCTTGGTCTATTTGGACACTATTCACATGTGTTTTTTCAACTATAAATGAATCTGACAAGGCTATATGTCAGTCCTAGAAACAAGCAGGGGCGGAGCCACGTGCATGTCAGGGTTTCGTCGGAAAAAAATATTGTATATACAAGTAAAATGACACACAAAGTGATTAAATAACGTATTTTGGACACCCTTGACAAAATAGGTTGTTGTGGCCCAGTGGTTTCAGACCCCTTTAATGAGTTTCGGACCCCTTGAATGAGCTAGTGCCCACGTGTTTGAATCTCATTAGCAACAATTTTTTTCTCCTTTTTAAAAAAAGCTTTTGTTGTGCAATTTCAGGACACCATTCGTGAAATTCCTGGCGTCGCCACTCGAACCAAGCATCATGTCTAATCAACAGAATAGAATAAAGATACCCTTCCTCAAAGATAGCATAAACCCTTTGGAAGTAACATATGATTTTAGTAGAGGAAAAAAACATATTACCTGCTTGTAATGCCGGACAACTTTATTCCTCTTTGGAGTTGAGAACAAAATTTTTGGCGATCGATCAGAAACTAGAAACGGGTCCTGTCCATAGATACGAAATATTGGCCGGCAACCACCCTCGCCATCAAAATTAGGTATAGCCCTAATAATGATGCAATCCAATGTGAGTGCTCTATCCAATGGAGGCCACTGCATGTTCACATTCCTCCTGGCTACATACTGTAGGTATCTTAGCTGAGAAGGAATTGGATTCAGTGGCTGCAGCAAGTACAAAAGTTCACGAGGAGCCTGCTTATAAATCATGTCTAAGGTCTTCTGCTCTCCAGTGTAATGTTTCCTGTATATCAATAACGCAGCCAACATAAATGCCAAAACTGGCCAACCACCCCGTTCACAGTGCATTAAAAGCACATTTTGTTGCCCAAGTGAGAGCCAACTTTCACCGGATCTTAGAAAATGGTGCATCACTTCCATTGAAAGCAAGGGGCAACCCTCATAGTGCCGAGGGTAGTCCATTATTGTCAGATCATACTCAGACAGAATATTTGCCATCAGGCTCTGCGACACACCCTCACGAAAATTAAAAACCAATATTGACGCATCAGGGTAATGATCCCGAAGTTGACTAATCACACCTCCTGCATAGCCTTTGTAATTTTCTTCCTCCCAAACATCAGTGGTGAAACAGCAATCAAACACTGCATATAAAATAGAACAAATTATTAGCAAAACTGATGTACCAACAGGCATTAACATTTTCAAGTCACAAAATACTTTTGTGTTGATAAACAGAGATGACATGACTCAGCTGTAATAATCTCGGCCTCCTGCATTATGTCGAAATCTAAACATAAATATTTTGAAAATAAAATTAACAGTGAAAACCATTTTCTCTTGCCACATTACTGTTCCGTTTTTCTCCCTTTTCAAGGAGAAGAAATTTGGATTCTATTGTCACAATACTGTTTGAAACACTTCAAGGAAGCATGCCAAGGTGTTTCTTGACAGTGTCCCTTTTAGTTTTTAAGGCATTGATTGAATAACATCACATTTGAGTTGTTGTGTTTATTAGATTCAGTATTTTCTCCATTCCTTCCACCTTTTTCTGGGTCACGTAAGAGTAAGATACCTAATTTACATGTACTCAAAACTTGATAAAATTGAAAAAATCACTACTGATTGAAGATTATCTAAAGCATCACTTCCTCAAGTATTTTTACCTTTTTGTACTACACATCAAAGTATGACTGATCAAAACTGTTCAACTCACAACTACTGGAAAGCTAACCTTTTCTGCTGGGTGACATGGTTTTCCTTTCATCTAACCCTAATAGAGAACATGTCTCAGCCTAAAGAATCAGTTCAATCCTCTACCTCTTAAGTGGCGGAGTTTTCCACTTCAGTTTTTTCTTTTGCCTTGAGTGATGGTGGTGTCAAGCGCCAAGTTGCGTGCACCTTGACTATTCCACCACACCTGTTTATTTTTTTTCCTCCACCAAGATCTGAACCCGACACCTCATGGTTCTCCTCCAACTTCATTGACCACTAAAGCCATACCATTGGGTTTTTTTACTTCAAAATATTCTAAGAATAATATCATTTGCATTAATCATCAGAACACATACATAGTTACATTACTTCTTTAGCCTTTATTCATTTATAATAGTCCAATTGAACAGTTGTGCTATCAGACACCGGAGAGATCAAATGAAACTGCATTATGCATTAGTGTCCAGCACAACCACCCTTCGAACTAAATGACCCATACTTTGGGAAAGCACTATTTTAGATTACGTTGGTAGCAGCAACTTAGAAATTTCATTAAATATACTAAACAAAGCACAAGCAGGCTTTTAATTATACTATTCCCAAGTATTACACTAGAGTATTTTGGGCGAAAAAGATGAGCTGAATCCTCTGCCCATTAAGCAGCTTATGCTTCGACTCAGCTCAGCTAGCATGCCAAACGTCGCCAACTTGGCAGCAGTCAATATAGTCATCACAACATAATTTCCCTGAAAATTAACTGAATTTCGCTTAGGTGAATTAAAGTATATGACAGTTTCTTCATTGCAAGATAACTTGCATTTTGCCTCAACTCGCTTCATCCACTCACAATTCCAACTTAACATCCCATATTTCGATATTTTCTTATAATCGAGAAATCACCGAGGGCCAGCTGGCATACAGTTCAAAACATGTACTTCAAATTATCCAAAAGTAGCTAAAGTCTAGTCTTAATTTGTATTAAAGGCCCAAATACATGCCTCTTCAATTTCAATAATAATAAAGCTCCTTTCCGAATCCGAACAAGGAAATATATCTTCACTGGCCTCAAAGTGGCAACAAAAATGATTCCTTTTTTCAATTTTCTATGTCTTAACAGAGAATAATCACTTCTTCTTTTTTTGTTAACCGTGACATCCGGGTTAACTTGCACACACTTTGAATAATTCCAGGGGATACATGTCACCTCCCAGGCTCCCACTATGATAACTATGGTGCCCGAGCCAACTTGCGTGCACCTTGATTAACTCTATAGCAAACGTGCCATCTCCCACCAGCAGCATGTACCACGTGGACAAAACTCGCGCACACCTCAACTAACTCTACGATATATGTGCCACCTCCCACCAACAACATGTACTAGGTGGATAAAACTTATACCCACTTTGACTAATTCTATGGAATACCTACAACCTCCCACCATGATAAACACGTTGCCCGAGCCAACTCGTGCACACCTCAGCTAACTCTACGTCATACGTGTCACCTCCTTTCGGCAACATGTACCAGGTAGACAAAACTTAAGCGCCCCTCAACTAATTCCACAAAATACCTATCACCTACCACCAAGATAACTGTGGTGCCCGGGCCAATCTCAACTAATTCTACGTGATACTAGTCAACTCACACCAACAATATGTAGCAGGTGACTCTATCCACCAATGCTAGAAATAGACGAAAAGTAAATATTTTTGTCTCGGGACCTGAGACCTCATGTTGCTCAACCCACTTCATTAACCACTAAACCACCCTCTTAAATGCATAGAATAATCATTTCTTCACATTTCCATTTCCCCATTATAATTACATATTTCACACATTGAAACATAAAGTATAAACCAAAAAAAAAAACTCAAAAAATCATAAATTTTCTATTTATTCCAGCTCGATCTCAAATACAAACAAACAAAAATCCAGAATTACAAAACCTCCATTAATTAAAACAAAAAAAAAAAAACGTACCATAAACTCTCTCGCAGATCTCTAACAGTCCATCAGGTGGCTTCCTATAGAACAATTTCCGTAACAATGCCATTTTCGCTTAATAATTCAAAAAAACACCTTCTTCCTTCCTTCCTTTCAAATTCCACAAAAAAAAAAACTATCTATACATACAAATATATTTATTCATATATATAATATATGTGTATCTATACATATATTTTGTGTGAATTTTTGTGTATATTTTGAAAATGGAGAGTTTTTGTTGAAGCTTGAGAGATCGCTTAACGAATAAAGAGGAAGAAGAAGAATGGATTTTTGTAAGAAAACGACGACGTGGAAGGCATTTAGGCAAGGCAACGTAGACTTTGGAAAAGGAAAATTTATATTACAAGTATCTTACTTCAATATATATCCCATATTGGAAATTTTGTCATTTAATGGGAAACTACCCTTTTTAGGAGTATTGAAAAAAAAATCGTCCACGTTTCTGTTTAGTTGTCATAGTTTCTTGAAAATTATTTTGATTAATATTTTAAAATATATTTATTCATTATATTTGATATGAGAAAAATAAAAATAATGTAATTTATAGTATTTTTCGTTAGAGTTGTTCAAGATCGAACTGAAATCGATAATTTGAATCGAAAAAATGTTATTGATTTATCGGTAATGATTTATTCGTTTAGCAATATCGATAACGGTTTTAATTTTTTTATTATCGATTCTGAATGGTTTGAGGTTATTTTCTTAATAGGTTAACCGATAACATATTGAAAAATAAATAATTATATTTATATCATTTATTACATATAGTCCTTGACTTAGAGTTTAATTTCATACTTTTATTTTTGTCTGTATCAAACTCTCGATTATTTTACAATGTAACAGTGTTTGCTTTTGAGCAAAAATGAAATTTGTCAATTCGTATGCATGATTTCTTTGGTTTGTCACCTTGTTTATAAGTGATTTTCCATATTTTTTTAATCAAATATTAACGGTTAAATCGATAACGATTAATAACTAATAAATCAATAATTTATAAGTTAATATCTTAATGGTTCTATAATAGTTTAGCATGTTTACAAATCGATAACAGATAATTCAAGCAGATAAATTGTAAAATTAAACTGAATCGACCGATACACAGTCCTATTTTTTGTATAGTTTTTGAATGTTAAAATATTTATTTTAAAATATTGAACTAATATGATCTAATTTACTTTTAAAAATTAGTGGAATTGACTTTCGAAAAGCATAACATGACAATTAAAAATAAATGAAGAGAGTAGATATTTCATTTTACTTATCTATTTTGCAAATTGAGTTTTTTTTTGTACTAATCTTAATATTAAATAACTATATAAAGTAATAGTTAAATTTAAAATTTTAAAGCATTATTAATAAAGTTAGTTTAATAAACTATACACCTACTTAAAGTTTTTTAAAGATGTGTGTGAGATAAAAAATTAATACAGTTTTATTTTTTATTTAATTATTAACTCGGGTTATGTCAAGATTAATTATTAGTATCAAACTAAGTTATTTATGTCAAATTGTGGAATAATAGTACTGAAAATTAGTTATCTCAAAATAAAATAAGGTCTCTCAAACTCTTTTTTTATGTAATAATTAGATACTGGGTATTTTTTACAAGTAAACAATTTATTCTTAAGATTGTATTAATGCACGTTATTTTCAATATAATAAATTAAACAATCAATAGAAAATAATTCTAGAATAAAGCATACTTTATGAGGAAAAAAATCACTATCAAGCTCGATACTTACTCTTTAACATTTTTTCCTTGTAAATCGATGTGAAGCAACTTTGTTTGCGTGTAAATTTATATAGAATGGTGATGGACAATGTCTCATTCAGTTGATATCAAATTAAACTTTTATGAAATAAAATTATATGATTTAAAAGCAAGATATACAAAAATTATTTTAACACTATAAAAATTAATGACGTATACTTCTCTTATAATTTTCATCGAACCTTATTGATCACTCGATCATACCTTTACCTACAAAATGTAAGACTTGTTACACTAGGAAATGTACACAAAATTGTCATTTCTTTCTATTTTCCCTTTCCTTCTCGGCTTTTCATGTGCTTGGATATCTATTAAAGGAAGAATAAACTTTTTTTTTATGACTTCATGCAAAGTTCTAATGTTAACATTATCATCTTTTTATAATTAGGAATGAAAATAAATGATTTTTTTATTTTTCATTTAGTATTCGATATTTATATTGAGATTTGATTAAATTAGATTCACGTCGCGTAAGATTCATTTAAGAGCGAAGTTCTCCCTAACATGAACTTTTTCATACCCAAGACTCGAATAAGACCTCTGGACCATTTTTAGAACTTAAAAACTAATCAAATTTCATGAACAAATAATATATATATATATATATATATATATTTTATTTATTTTTATTTTATTTATTTTTATTTTTTTTAAATACTCCTAAAATTCGTAGTTAAATGGGAGCTTAATATTAGCTATGAATTTTGATGGCTTCAATTTAACTTCATTCTTACCTAGAGCAAAAATGATATTGACCTTTTTACCATATAGATTTATTATAATTAACTGATTTATTTAGACAAAAATACATGTTAAATTAATTAAGATTAAATGCTAAATCTAATTTACGTACAAACACATAATACATGCGATGTATTTATTAACTTGAAATAAACGTCATTTTTTTTTACCAAGAAGGGAGTGTACTACACAACTACTATATAAAAGAAGAATTGAAGTAAAATTTACCATAAAAGTGAAATTGTGGAGGCTTTGTGCATTGTAATTTGTAAGTAAGAATTTATTATTATGATATTTCAGTTTGAAACTCGAGATTCAATATTTTGTTAATTCAAGAAAAATTAAGTCAACTTGAAAATCATAGATTAAGACATTTTCCGTATTCCGACTAATGACTATCAAAATCGATTAAAACTAATTGACATAAGCCGTTTGTTGTACAGTGCCACTTTTATCGATGGGTCACTTGTCCACCGTCCACAAGACCACAAATAGAACCTAACATTAATGGACTTTGTGATTTCATAGTTTTAATGGTGGAAAACTTTTTAGAGATGTGTTGAGCACATGATAAGTGTTTAAATCATGATTATTGTTTTTAGATATTTAGTTTGAGATTTACTTGATCAATAAATTTATATTCACGTTAGGTAAATCTACGTATAAAAAAAGTCGAGAGGTAAGAACTAACGGTTTGAGACTCATTTTCTTGAAAAAAAGATAGAAAAGTTATGTAAATTATGATTGTTCGAGAAATGTAGCAATTGCTCGACTAAAGACAGTCAAAGACTTGTTTCCAACATTTGCACTACAAGCAATATAAATGCTTTCCAAAGCGATATATTGCTAAGAGATAGAGATATAAAGAGTGTGATTGTCTATTGTACAAGTAAATTTATATCTTACCAAGAGACTTTACATTTTCAAGTTCTTAACTTGTGTTTTCTTACTAAAGATGAAATGATTTTAATTAATCTGTCGGATTGCTTCATAGTGAATCACGATTCTGATAGTAACGTTTATTTCACGCAAGATATCATTGACGATTAAAACTTGTGTCAAACACAAAGTATTTTTGCATCTTTGCAATTCAATTTCGCTATGAGGCTAGAGTATGGTAATTTTAGATTTGTACTAATTTCAACTTACTCATTCACGTCTAAACTTACATTAATAGTTCAATCTTTAGATATATAGATCTAAAGTTGGGAATTGTCAAGCTTAAATGTACGAAGAGTGAACTGCACAAGTAATAAATCAACTTTATACTTATAGCTTATAGGTATGAAGTTGAGTTTTGACAAGCCAACTTTGGACTCGTATGTTTGAAGTTTGTAACTTTAGACCTTGATTTTCAAATTTTGTCTAATACGAATTAAAGTTAATTTTGAAGTACCTAAACATTAACAACTTGTTTGGATGATTCTAACCTATTGTATTGTATAATACAATGTTTGTTTTGACTATTACTTAAATTTTATTATATCATATCTTTAAAAATTCATTGTTATGTAATAAAGAAAATTCCTATTTTAGTAACGATCAAATTGGTGTGATCGTTACACGATGAAACGATAGGTAGGTAGCAACCATCCAAACCAATAAAAAGAAAAACACTCCCACTTTCAAAAATTAGTGAACTCTAATGAACCAAAGAAATTGACAAATTACAAATTGACCACAAAAAGTCTGCAAGTATAGCTCAAAGGGGTCCCTCAAAATCCCAACACAAATTTCTATCCACATTTGGTCCAAATAGTCATTGTTGATGTGTTATATACCTCAAATTCAAAGTGCAATATATAACCCCATGTGAATTGCTTAACCCCCATAGGCCCTTATAGCGGCTTAGCCCAATCACTTCAACAGAAATAAGTTTTTTGGTCCTTTCTCCTCCCTTCACTCTTTATCTTCAATAAAGAACCAATTTTTATAATAAAGAACCATTTTTTACAGTAAAGAACCAATTTTTATTGGTTAAAGAGGTAAGGGGTGAGAAGAAAAGGGCTAAAGAACCAAAAAATCTAAGTGGGGTTTTGTTTTTTTGTGAGTTCTTGTGCTGCAAATTTTGCTCTATAATGGCTTGCAGTGTTGCAGACTCTGGTTTCCTGTTCTTGGTAAAATCCCTTTTTTTTTTGTTGCTTCCACTGTTCTTGTATTGGTGAATTTTGGTTGTAAGTTCATGTTTTTTTTTTGGTTTCTAATGTTAGGCTTCCAAGAAAAGATCAGTTCATAGCACTAGAATTGGGCAAATTGCTTCTACAGGTATGTGTATAAAAATTACTAGTATTTTCTTGTGGGGTGCATTGTTGCTTGAACAGGGTTAACTTTTTGTATGTGTGTGTGTGTTGTTGGGGGGGGGGGGGGTCTATTTTTTGTGTTCTTGATTATGGAACACCTAAAAGTAGCTTCTTTGGATGGTAAATTGCAGATCATTTCTGTTAGGATTTGGCTATGTAATTGATTACTGAAAATTAGTAGCTAGACTTGTAGGTTTTCGTCTGCGTTTTTGCTTGAACTGAGTTAATTGTGGGTGTCAGTGTGTTGTTGTTGTGGTGGTGGTGGGGGTCTATTGACGATTTTGTTTTTTTGTTTCTTGAATTGAGGACACCTAAATGTAGCTTTTTGAATGGCAATTTGCAGGTTAATTCTGTGAGTATTTAGCTGGG